TATAGTATTTACATTATTATAAAAGTAATAAATAAATTTAAAAAAAAAATTTTTTTTCAAACATCTATAAAATGGGTATGATACAAAACAGAAAACAAAAAATTAAAGCTGAAATATACTAAAAGTTATCAATTGAGTATATAGTACATGAAGCTAAGATCAACTTTGAGTTCTTCAAAACTAAAATGAGTCTCTCTTAGAACTACAAACACATAAAACGTTTAACAATTTCACATTTTTGTGAAATAATCCATTTATGAGAGCGTTCTATGGTTAGGCTAGCTACTTGCTGTCCAAATAACACGTTCAGTTCTTTACTTAGATTTTCGTAGTGAGCGCCTAAGAAGTCAAAAACTACAGTTACTTGTCTAACTTTATATCCTGGATATAAGTTCTTTATTCCTAGTTTCAGGTCCACGTACTTATTTTGCTTGTATTGGGTCTTTTCTGTGATTGTTCCTGGAGTGCATTCGGTTCCTTCTACCAAAATCCATTCCTTGTTTGTCTTGTCATGCACACTAATGTCAAGTTTGTTTGCTCCGTCTTTTGGGGCTTTCTCTATGTGCCATGGGATGTTCCATAGAATCTTGACATCGTCATTTTCTTGACTAGGCTGTGGTATAGATTGCTTGTACTATTATTGCGTGTACTATTATTATTACTTGTATTATTATTATTATTAATATTATTATTAGTGCAAACATCACAGAAAGAATCGAGGTAATAATGCACATGACGTCATAGCCGCCATCTTGGTTGATTTAAAAAAAAAGGATTGTCAATGAATTATTTTGTTATATCAGCCAACATAACTGCATTGTCTTTTGCTATTTCACTCCCTTGGGATTGATTAAAAACCAGAAATTGATAAACGGTTGCAGTCTTCAATATAAATTTATTAGCGACATGTTCAGTTACTGATCAATAATTTCAGTAGATTCTTAGTACTAATATATTAATATAAGAATAGTGCTTGATTAAGATATTTCTGTTTTCCACCTATTCTTTCTTCGAGAGTCCAGTAACTAAATTCAATTTCATTCTTTTT